AACAACTCCAGCCAGGACTGTCACAGCCAAAGGCCTGAACAGAGCAGAAGAATGCCTGGCAGAAATCACAGGATGCCTTCAAAGTCTTACTGATCAGCTCCATGACCACATATGCTACAGTAATTCAAGGCAAAGAAATCAGTGTGTAATGTCATGACTTATCTACACTATTTAAGGCTCTATATCATAGTGCAGCAAGAGGGTTTGTGCTGGTACAGCAAGGGACTGTGGAATCACTTTGCACTGTTTCCCAAGCTGACCCCTGGTGCTAGCAAAGGGAAAAGAGAAGCAAGAGCCTGGACTGTGGGCACAAATCCATGAGGCTTCCAAAACAGCAGTGTCAGGGGCTGGTCTGTGTTAACACTCAGACTTCAGAACATCCGTATATGAGACTGGATTAACCCTTTATGAACTCTATTCTTAGCATGCTAAAAATACACAACTACCTTTTACATACAAAAATGAAGATTTTCTCATGCATGCACTGTTATTTCACATCTTCTCTTTCACACCTTTCCCCCACCTTCATGAAAGCTGACAGCAAAACTGTCCATTGGTTGGTTTTATCTCAGATAAAAATTAGGACAAAATGATGCCAAAGACACAATACTTAAAGGTGGTACACAGTGGAACTGGCAGCCCATGGTAAGTTATTATAGCTTTAAAAAAATTATGAAATCTAAGACAAAAATATACATTCTTTTCAAATTTTAAATTCACTATTATGAGCTGAGGCTGAAGAGGTCTCTTGATTTAAATCATGTAGTTATACTGGCCATAGTGATGATCTCAGAATGTCAGCAAAGCAACTTCTGCAGGGAGAGTTAATACTTTTTATTAGATTATCTGACAGGTTGGGAAAAGTTTTGGGCATGTTTAGCTCTTCTTGTCTGATTCTCCTAGCATGCTAGTTGGTCTAATATAAGCTATTATCTCCCTGTGTAAGCTTTGTCTGATTATTTAAATCAGTCAACCAAAGACAGGTATCCACTTAAAAACTCCTTATTAAGTCAAATGAGCATTTAGGGGGTTTTGCCACCCACAGATGCCAAAGCTAATATCCAGCAGAGACATGTCATTCATTAGTATAAAAACCTCATATCAAAGAGATGTGTTGCATGCTTTCAATGAGCAGATGAAATGCAAAAAAATAGTTGATTCAGTGGAATTAACAAAACAGGAAAAAAAATCAAGCATTATTATCTATAATAACACCTAATAATACTACATTATTAATGGTTATAATTAAGATGGAACATTCTAACAAAAGTCCTCACACTGACTTTTAAAAGGAACATATGATACATTCCAACTTTGAAAACATTACTAAACTCTACAAATGTTCTTTTTCATACAGGATATAACTTTAAGGTTTACAAAACAGGATGAGAACAAAAAGAAAAGTTGCAACAGCCATCTTTTTTTGTCCTGATATTTGATTAAAAAAATTAAATTGTCTTTAATTTTAAAAATATCTCTACATTAAATGATTATTTAACAATACTCTAAGAGTCTGACATTTGTTTCTCTATGAGATTATGTCTCTCATTATACTACTCTGCCCTATTTTTAACCACAGAGAAATACCAAAAGTGCAAGTAACAAAATTATTTTCAGGAAGAAACAGCTTTGAATGTCTCCTTCGTGAGGAGGAACCTAAATTGACTTCAAGACAATACTGCAAGGTTCTCCCATTTTTACAGACTTCAAGAAAAATTAAAAGATCAATGGAACGAGCTACAGTGGAAAGTGTTATGGAATCTGTTTCCAAAACTGTTTATGAATTAAAGAATTACTCTGTTAAATGTAAATTTTTCCATAGGTAGTGTTCTACTCTCTGCAGTCTCACACAGTCATCTTTAATGTGTTTATAAACTTATAAACAACATCTCTGCCAGGACAGAATTGTGCAAGAGGATGAGAGCAGTGGCATTTACCTACAGGGAAGAAAACTGGGAAGAAAGATAGGATCATGCCCTCTTATTAATTCAAATACTAAGTAATTATAAAGGTCCCTTTAGCTTAAGTTACACCTTGAAAATATGAACTGAAATGTGCTAGAAAGTAAAATTAGTGCAAATCATAGAATTTTAACATGGTTGTCGATGGACACTATTTCATAATGACAAATTATTCACACAGGAAAATTCATTGTTACATAAAAGAGAAATCTGTTCTTAACAAAACCAGGTTTCTTGTAATTTACTAAAGAAAAAGTTCTAAATACATTTTCTGTGAAAACAACATAACTAAGGCATATATTAGACACGTTCTTTTTCTGAATTCAGTTCCAACTTACAGGACAATCATAATCAGCCCTGGTGTGAACCAGCACAATTTCCACAGTTCAGAAATAAAATTGTGTATTTTATATTTTGTGAGACATTTTTCCTACCAAAGTTGTACCATAACTTCACCATTAATTTTGCACTCTCATCCTATTTTAATCCCTGCAGATTTAAAATAATCTTGAGTATAGGTTGTATTAGTAAAAGCAGCACCTAGATGTTAATTCTACGAACTTGTCTATTTTCTTCTATGTAAAATACAGCTTCTGCATGGAAGAGGAAAATGCTCAAGGAGGAGTAACTATATCATTACCTAATTCTAACCTTATACAAATATTGTCCATGCATGCATAGCCAGCCGTAATATAACAATTTAAAAGAAAAAATGTAATGTTCTTCTGCAATCACGTTTTTATTTATTAAAGTTTCTATAAATATGTTCTATGCTTGGACAGATCTTTTGGAAATAAATAAATAACACATTTCAAAGAAATCACGCCACCTTATGGCAGCAGACAGCAACACTCATGGCTGGTATTTCACACACATGGCAGCTCCAAAGACAAAAGGAGCAAGTTTATACTTAAACAAAAAATCCAAATACAGCATTCTTTAGACCTGTAAGCAATAAAGAGTGTTCAGCAAATACCCATAAAAGAAACTCCATGGAACCTACTTACACTGCTCAGTTTAGAAGATTAAGTAGGATGCCAGCAGTAATCAGAGCCACAAGCTCAGAGAAGCACATTAACTTTGGAAATTCATGTTTGGATTAGTACCTTATCCATTCTGCTAATTGAGAAGAACACAAAAGCAAGCAAGTAGCCTATACAATATGTTCATGGTCATTATTCCAAAGGTGGAGTCTCTAAGAATTTCCTGGTATTGTTATTTCCTCTTCCAGCAACTCTAAATAGATGGCCTGAAATAAACTAAACATGCACTAACAACATTGTGTTCTACTACATTTAGTTTAAGAGTCCTTGGGACAAGTGCTGCAGTAGCAACGTTAAAGTCTGAACCAAAATTAAAATAATTCAACACTATATTACTTTGACATATGAAGCTTCTCCTGGTGGCTGGGATATCGTTCTCTTATGGCATGCAGAGCAAGAAAAGAAGTAATTGACAGAGACCAGTCCACACCCAAGCAGCTACATGTAGTAAGGGCATTCATCCAAATAGATGTTAATACAGATTATTCCTTTGTCCAGTTCATATTGTGACCTAGAATGTAAGTTTCTCCATCCAAAGTAACTGCTGTAACAATTAAGACGCTGGGACACAGATTCTTAATCCCTCCTGTTGGTGCTACTCAATTTACATACACTAATGAATACCAACTAAGACATAATGAGGGAAAAACGGACTTTTTAGGCCAGTAACTATGACATCTTTCTGAAATTACCAGAAAGTCCCAAGTCCCTATTTTAATGAATATTTATGCAATGTAAAACAGCTCCAACAACAGAAAGTAAATTTTATTCTTGGTGTTTAAAACACTCAAAATATGAGATGTGCACATAAGCCTGGATGAAATTTCAGTGTGGAAGAACATGGAATGAACTGTTTTTCCTGTTGCATGTGAATAACTAGCACTAGACTCTGATATTCTGAGAGGATTCTCTCTTACTGCGACCAGAAATTCTGTTCAAACTGGTAATATATAGCAGCAAGCTTTTTCAATTTAGAAGAATCACCATTTTTTGATTAAGAAAGATGTAGCTGGATAGTTCCCAAACCCTTTTATTCAGAGGATCTTGCTGTGTTTGTTTAAGTTACGCACTTACAGTATTAAAGTTATGAATGCAAAGAAATGAAAAAGCATTTTCATGACAAGAAAAAAAAAAGCAAGACACTTTAAAACAAGACACTTCAGACAAGACAGAAATAGACCACAACAAAAAAAACTTTAAAACAGCTGAGAAATAAGTAGAGTTCCTACCTGCACTCCCTAAGCACACCAGAAGCTTCTCCATATATTCTGCTCCCTAAAAATCCAGTGCACTGAGCTCCCTTCTCCTTTAGTTCAGAGTCAGTGAAATGCCTTTCTTCCTACATTTTCCTACAGCAGAAAACTCAAGAGTGTCTCCTTTCCTCCTCCCATCTCAAATGCTTTTTAAACACCTCCTTCCCATTTAGAGGACTCAGTGTGCCACATTCCCTCCGGTGATGAAGAGTGGTATAATGCGTATTCCATGGCTCTTATGCCAAGAGCTCTGCACATATTTTTGTTTCTCCCCAACCACCAACCTTCTTCCAGATAAGCATGATAAAGGGGTAAGGGAAAAATCTCTCCAGGTCAGGCTTTCCTGAGGAGGCACACTAGAAGATATTATGAAGCCATATTCCTACAGGTAGTTCCTACAGCAAAGCAGGAGGAGGGCTTTTCATTCCTTGTTTTCACCAAAATCAGTATGGTTTGGCCACTGAGGCCCAGGCATCAGCTCACATTATACCAGATGTGAAATAGCACTATATTACACTGAGAAAGACCCAAAATCACCACAATGATCATGAATTCCATTTTCTCAACTGCTGTCAAAATTCATCAGCTAAGCAAAAGGCAGAATATGATGAACATTTGATTCTTTTATACACCATGATACATCCATTTCTAAGATATTATAACTGTTTTGATCAGCAAAACTATATTGTTTTGCTTTACACAGCTTTAGTATCACTTCCAAGTTCTAAGTGGAAGTTATTTACCTCAAGGTCATCCAGAGAGCGAGTAATACTAAATCGCTTGGATCTTCCAAATGATCTTCGAGCAGAAGAACGCGGGGGAGGAGCCTGATTTAATCCCACTGAATGTCCAAATTTTGCAGCCTAAACAAAACAGAAAACATATATTATTATTTTACTTCTTTAAATTTAGTACACTGCTGATCATAGTGACAGCATCTGAATTTTAAGGAGATGGATTCAAAGATCTGTAACAGGACCACAAAATCAACACAAGTTGGTCACTTGCCATGCCCCTGTACAATCACATACTAAAATTCATTAAAGTTGACTTTTCCAGTCTCAAGTCAAATATCCTAAACATTCAGCATTAAGTTACTGTATAAACGTCAGTTAGGTCACTTAAGTGTACACATTCTAGATGTCAGTATTAAAAGCAAGACAATCCTAGCTCTGTACTGTCTTAACTGGAAAGTATTTACAATTACAAGATATTTGGCTTTTCTATAGGAAATTACCATCCTAGAAATTGTGTCACCCAGCTTCTGTTAGAACCTTTCTCCACATTTTTAAAAATCTTACTTTCACTACTCTTGGTTTTTTTAAAACTTTGCTACTGTGAAGTCCAACTTCTTAAATCACACAGTACCAAATGCAGGAACTTTTGTTCTAAGGAAAGAGACTACCTCACTTGGATGTTCCATTACTACAGTTGGTGCTGCAGTAATCAAATCTAATGGTTTTCTCTTGTCCACATAATCATACTCTTTATCCTTAAAAAGCCACCAGATGTCAGTTAAGCTACTCAGCATGTACAGATCAAGTTTATGCCAAACAGCAAAGTGTAAGCTTAAACCTAAAATTAGGCACACAGTCAGTGACTGGTGCTAAGCAGATGTACATAAACTCACCACATTATGAAAACTTGTGATTATATGCCTGAAATTTTGGATTCCTTTCACTGTGGAGAAAATTCCTCCCTGTCTACTGATGCTTTTTTGCTTTAGAAAATAAAAGATTTTAAATCAGAGTAAATTTTATTCTCTTTCATTTCAGCATCTCTCTTCATTCCAGTAAGCTTAAAAATGTATATATTAGTACTTTTATAATTGCTTATTTGGCAGATTTGTAATATTTATTAAATTTTCTATTTGTGTTCATTTCTTCCTTTGAGCAAGTTTCTGTGCTCTCAGTTCTGAAATATTTTGATATCCCTTTGATCAATCATTGGAAAGTCTACATATGTCACATTAATCAAAAGAACAACCACATCCTCATAATCTCATGCTAACAACCACTCATACAAAGCAGAGAAAGGTAGCAAGAATATTATACAGCCTCCTCACTGCAATAAAAGGTGCCCAACAGAAGATGTCTGCCTGTTTGCTAATTCCCACGGAGACAGCACTATTCTATAGCAACTGGGCTTGGACCATCACCAGTATTCACAACAGTTCCTGTTTACAAGCTCATAGAAATGTCAAGACATAACACAACATACAGGAATCTGGATCCAAAGTATGTAACAGAGTTCATCCTTTCAACAGGCTTGAGAGTCCAACTTTATTCAGTATTAAAAGTTATCAATTTTTCTACAAAATCTCCTTCCCTTCCAATTTTCAATTTACTAAGGTTAGCTGTTTTGTGGGTTTTTTTGGTGTTCTGTTTGTTTGGGGGTTTTTTTTGGCTGAGAAGAAAATTGGGCAGGTTCTGCCAAAGAAAACTGGAAATCTCATAACTGGAGATTAGCTTTAAGGTTTATAAGAGAAAATTTAAAAGTGCAGTATAAACAAGCTAAGATGGCTTCTGCTAAAAAGATCAGCTAAATGTGAAGACAGGTAAGGTGCTCTCTGTAAATGTCTACAGAGAGCACCCACAGGAGTGAGGACAGTTCCTGGGTTTTTTGAGCATCTTTTTAAGCAAGTTTTAAAATCACCAGTTCATCCAGGCAGGCACTACTGAGGTGGTTCACACTTGTCATGCCAGTCTTTCCTGAAGATAAAGCTTATGCATTTCCTAAACATAGAGTTTATGCCTAATGCAGTAATCTGTCACACAGTGAACTTCACATTAACCCCTGACTAAATTCAGCAGTATCCATTACTATTGCTGCACAAACTCTCAAACATTAACATGGTTCCTCCTGTATGGCTATGTTTCTGTTAAAACAACATGAATATATGTGTACAACTACCAGGTTTCACCACTAGTCCAGTATGACCACACTAGTTCTGCAATTTTTAAATTTTTAAGCTGAGAATTAGTGATGAAACTCTCAGCCTACAAACAGCTCAGCAAATTAACAATATCATTAGTTCAAGTACAACTGGTATTTTGAAACTAATGAAATAGTTGCACAGTATGGATTCTGCTTAATGGTCTTTCACATGCTTCTCAAATGAGAGCACATGCATTCTCTGAGATGCATCCCTCAGAGAACTTCATCTTTCATAAAGAAAAGTGGGGAAAGGGGGGAAAAAAGGAAAAAATCTATCAATAGCAGGCATATCTATTTTGAATAATGAATACATTTTCACTTTTCATTCTATTTCATCCCAAAAAAGAACATAAACTGTCCAGTATATGTTTTAATAGTAGAGACTGCCATGTTTGATTCAGGGAGATTAAGACAGGCACCTAGAGAATATACACTCAAAAAGTTTGAAATAGTAACATTACAAATTGAAGGAAGAGGAACAAAGTGCCTAAAGACAAATCTAATTAGATTCCACTGAGCAGCAGATTCTAGATAAGATTAATCATCATCAGATGCCCCATTTTGGAAGTAAGCACTGCTTACCTATTTGTGGGCAGAAGCATAACAAAAAGAAAGAGAGAGAGTGGACAAAATCCACTTGCAAATTGTGTGGTAATAGAAAAAAGAAAGTAAATTAGTATCCAATCAAAGTTTTTATTTATGGGTTTTGACATTGTTACAGAAAACTCACTACTGAGCCCTGGATGGAACAGTAAAGATAAAAGCAGGAGGGAAAAAAAAGAGGCTCTGAGAATAAAACAGTGCTTAAGCAATTATTACAAAATATAGAAATTCACTAAGCTAACCATTTCCTCAACCCACATCTGGATAACAATTGCAATTAAGAAAACGTTTTCAACTGACAAAAATATCTTCCTTGCTCTGAAGAATCAAATTAATAATCTAGGAAATTAACAAAGGCATTACTGAAAAAAAGAGACTCAAATTCACAAGTATTTAATTTCCTGGGAAGTCTCCCTTTTCATCTTTTCTTGACTCTATTCCAGACGCTCAGACTATGAAGGCAGACCTCCTTCTGCAAATCAATTAAAAAAGATGCATACAAGTAAATAAAGAATCATGTAACTTAAGCAAATACCACCATTTTGACAAATGTTTTTCATGGGACTCTGAAGAGCTGGAAATAATAGCATCCATGACTTGAAGAGAAAACAGTCATTGAAACTCGAATGTACAAATCAGCACAGCTAAAGAAATTGCAGTATTTGAGCCAAGAGAGATTGCTAATGCAGTGACTGATGTTAATGTAAATTTTGCAGTCTGTAAGCCATAAAGAAATTATCATACTTCTAAAAGCCTTTATTACACTGTTAAACAGATATTAAAAAACACTAAATGAACTAAAAACATTTCAGAGCAATACACTCTTGTTGTATGACCAACAAAATGGTCAGGTTGGATGGGGCTTTAAGCAACCTGGTCTAGTGGAAGGAGTCCCTGCCCATGGCAGGGGGGTTGGAACTGGATGATTTTTAAGGTCCCTTTCAGCCCAAACCATTCTATGAAACAAATGCTGTTTCATCCTCTGTTAGCTGCCAAACTAAAACACTGAAATTTCCTACATGAACACAAGGTTGTAGGGTTGGGGGTTTTTTTAAGTACAGATTGCCTATAAGCCCTAGAACTGTTTATTATCCTACCTTAAAGATTCTCTTCCAGAAAGACTGTGTTGCTAAATCTATAAAAGAAAACTAAAAATATCTAGATATTAAAGAAAAATCTAAGAAATATTATCACAGAACAGAATTAGAAACTGAAGTCCACCTGACACCTCACTAAGTGTCTTCATTTTAGGAATTTCAGAAATCCGGAAGCCAACAGAAAAAGCACAAGAATTTGTGAAAACAAGTTGATTAGTGAAAAGTATGTGCTACACCAACACACCCTCTCCTATCTGCAATACAGATACTTGCAACCCTACTACCACTATCTATCATGGTGAAAGTATAAAAGAACATATCTCTAAAAGCCTTTATCCTGTTATGCTTTGGCAGATGGAGAGGAAAAACAACAAAGGATTAAAAGAATTAAAGTACAAATGCTCCAAAAAAAATCCATTCTTTTTCTACTCTTATAAAAAAGTAAAAATTATGAATTAGTATGGACTGGAATACCAGTTAAATGTATAATCATAAGAGAAAAAGGACAATGGAGTCTGTGCAATTTTTTTTTTTTAATATATGACTAGATCACCCCTTTTCCTTAGGCTAACAGGAAATGGCAGATGCAAATACAGTCCTCAGAAATAATGATCAATCACCAACCAAACAATAGCCTTTCTTTTCCTTTAAATGCTTTTTTTTAAATTTAATGCTTAACCTGCTTATTTGGCACTATGGATGAGCTACCTCTTAATCTACTTGACAAGAAAAACACTGAAAACTAGAGGAGAGGAGGACTGATATAGCAGCAGTTTGTGAATGTGTCCAAGGGAGAAGAGTTTCTGTCTGATAACAAGAAAGGTGTACAAGAAAAGTACAAATGGGGAAGTGCAAAATGTTGTACTTTATGTATGAGCAAGACAGAGAGAAGAAGCACATGAGTTACGATAGACTGCAAACATGGAGAGAAAGAACAAAAATGATGTAATATAAGGTGACTTGCAGAACTCTAATTATTTAAAGATAGAAAGAAAAAGGATGAGCACTTAAAAGTAATTTTAATGGATAAACAAGGTAGGCAGTAGTTCCATATAAGATTTTCGGTGGCTATGCTCTCTTCAGGTACCTCTGACCACTTGTGCAAGCTCACAAATTGCAGCAGGCTGTCCTGTCATCTCCACTAACAGTAAACTATAATTTATCAAATGAAATAATCCTATTTCTAAGGCAGATCCACAGACAGTCATGCCAACACAACTGATGAT